TATTATTATTATTATTACTCTGTTTCCTGGCCCCTTCCTCCACAGCAAACTTGAGTTATGGATTGGTAGTCATAGGGTCAGCTCATAAATGTACCCTGCCCCAATTTTGGGGAACACATGGCCCATAAAGGCTGGAAGGCCATGCCAGGAAGCTCTTTTGCAAGGGTTTCAGTGTTGGTTCTGCGATGGGTGATCATCATGCCCAGAAGGGACCTGTCTAACAGGGATTGGAGTTATCCGTTTATATGATTTATATAACCTCCAAGGGAAAGTTCACCCTCATTCTAGCCAAGCCAGATAAATAGAAGCTCTCCATCCAGTGCTAGAGTTTGAAAGCCCTGATGTCACCTTAGCCATCTATACAGAAACACAGTATCTTATAGTTCCTACAATTATTATCATAATAATAAGATAATATTATTAGCATTACTATCTTATTTTTCCTAACATTATTATCATTATTATATTATCTTTCCTAGCATTATTATCATGAGAACTCATGCCTTCTCACAATGTGGCCAAAGTATGACAGCCTCAATTTGATCATCTAGGCCAGGGGTAGGCAACCTTCATGAGCCAGGGGCCGGGCTGCTGTCCCTCAGACAATTGGGGGGGGGGCGAAGCACCAAAAATAAATAAATAAGCAAACAAATAAAAATATTTTTTTAAAAAAAAATAAAATAAAAATTTAAAAATATGCATGCATGCTCTCTCAGCCCCAGAAAAGCCATGGCAAAACCCCTGTGGAGATTTTGCCAAGAAAACCCCAAGAACAAGTAATAACAACAATAATCAATTATCATCATGGCAGGCAGCAGCAGGGGTGGTGGCAGAACCAGCCTGGGGCAAGTCCAAAGGCCTTGGAGGGGGTGCATCTGGCCCCCAGGCCTTAGCTTGCCTACCCCGATCTAGGCTTCCAGGGAGAGTTCAGGCTTGATCAGTTTAAGGACTCATTTGGGGGGGATGTAGACGGGTGGCCCTGGGCCACTCCGGGAAATGGAGGATCAGGGCCGAGGCTGCCGGACATGTTGGCCCCAATCCTCCCTTTTACCAGCCTGGAAAAGAGCGACAAAATACCGCTCCTTTCAGAGCCAGCAAAAGGGCACCCTAAGAGTTGCCACATGGCTCTTTGGTGCCCCTTCTGGCGCAGCATGTCAAAAGGCTGGACCAGAAGGACATCCTGATGCTGCACACCATACATAACAGTGCATGGTGTCAGGATGTCTTTGGGGAGGGGGTGAGGCGGCTCGTGTGTGGCTGCCCCTCCCCTTCCCCGCCTCCAGGATGTCTCAAAGGGCCATCTGTAGAGACCCATTTGTTTGTCTTTTAGGCAGTTCATGGTATTCTCAGCATTCCTCTCCAGCACCACATCTTAAATGAGTTGATTTTTTTTCTTTGCTTTCTTCACTGTTTTATTGAAGTTTGCATTATGGTTGCCATAAGTCAGAAGTGACATGAATGCACACAACAAGAACAACAATGTGCAATCATCTCAAATGCGTTGATTTTCTTTCTATCTGCCTTCTTCACTGTCCAGCTCTCACATCCATAGTAATGGGAAATGCAATGGAGTGGATGATTCTAACTTTAGTGCTCAGTTGTATATCTTTACACTTTAAGATCTTGTCTAGTTCTTTCATAGCTGCCCTTCCCATTCCTACTCTTCTTCTGATTTCTTCAGTCTCCATTCTGATCAATAGTTGATCCAAGATATAGGAATCTTTAACTATTTCCTCATTTTCTAATTTGGATTTGGGTTGATCCTCCATGGTCCTTTTTTTTTTATCCAGCAATAACCTGCCTTTGCACTTTCTTCTTTACCTTTCCTTAGTAATTCCTCCAAGTTCTTGATGTTTTCTACTAGTCTTATGATGTCAGGTGTTAATTAATGAATTTCACAGAAAATACCATACAATACAAGTAGAAGAACTTGGATTAAATAATCAGATGGAATTATCTCTACATACTGGATTAACAGCATTTAAAATTAACTGGGTTTGAACAGACTGCCAGTAATAATCCACCTTGAGACCACTTTAACTGCCTTGGCTCAGCGCTAGGGAATAATGGGAACTGTAGTTTATTGTGGTACCAGAGCTCTCTGACAGAGAAGACTCAATGTCTCAGAAAAAAACTACAGTTCCCATGATTCCTTAGCACTGAGCCAAGGCAGTTAAAGTGGTCTCAAGATGGATTATTTCTGGCAGTCTGTTCAGGCCCTAGGTCCCTTCAGAAATCACTATGTTTACTTCTTCTCTTCCTCTAATCCTCTGGTTAAAATATAAGAAAGATAAGCTATTCTAACAGGTACATTCCTGGAAATTTAAGCAACAGTGGATGAATGACCCGGGGGGGGGGGGGGAAATCAGCTGGAAAAATTAGCCTTGGTAAAAATGGTGAGTAGATGAAATAAAATGAAACAGTGAAGCTTTTACTAAGCTTCACTAGGAAAAAACAAACAAAAACCAAAATATGCTGGTCTGTAGAAGAGTCCATGGAAGACTGAAAACTGTAAAATCTAGACAATTGTGTAAACTGAAACTTCTCTTAAAAAATTAGAAGAAAAAGATAAACTAGGGGCCAACAGCCCTAAAGCAAGCAAGATCTGTAAAAAAGAAAAAGAAAAAGAAAAAAAGGAGTACAGGAAGAGAACACCTCTCCCAGGGTAGACTTCCAAATTTTGGATTTTTCCAGTTGGTCTTTTCCCCTTTATTGCTGCAATGCAGTTGTGTATTGGTAAGTGGCAAGTCAGGGGGAAAATGAATTACACTGTAGTTCTTTTTTAAAGATTATTTCGCAGAAGTATTTGGGTTAAATTACATGACTGAAGAGTCTTATCGGGATAAACACTGAGCATACACTATCAAAAGTGTCTGAACTATTCAACTTGGTACTTTCTCCACACTGTCCCATTATCTTGTAGATGCATCAAGGTCTTTTCACCATATCAACCATTTATCTGTCTTTTTGGTGATTTCAGGATGTAAAACATCCAGACCAAGAAATATTCACACATTTCTTGAACAGTTTACAGTTAGTAGTCATGCTATATATTAAGCAATTGTTTTCTGTTCCATATTACTTATTCTCAGCACACAAAATAAAATCTAATTTTTGAAACTTTTTTCCCACATATTTACAACAAATGTAGAGACATGGTACACCGTAAAGAGGCAGTCATTTTTCAGACAGATAGCACTATGTTTTGTTTTGTTTTCTAAAATAACCCCAAACTTTTTTTTAAAGACTGTGGTCTGATGCTTTTCTCTTGGCATTGTACCCTTACAGTAGGAACAGTAACATTTTATTGTCTAAGTCCTAACGGACAGTGAGAAAAATGAAACAGGGTGTTTTTGCTTTATTTTATTTTTTAACAAACCCTGCAGCTTCAAGATACTGGGACATTTTTATTTTCCAGTGACAGGAAACTATACAGCTTTTCCAGAAAAGTAATGCAGTTTGCTGAAGAAACTGTGTAGCTTCCTGGAAACCATGATGCTTTTCCTAAGAATGTGAAGCCTTTCCTAAAACCTGTGCCACTTTCAACATTGAAAACAAACTGTGTCACATTCAGATTGTAAGGTTTACACAAGAAAGATTATATCCAGGCATCCATGTGTGTGTGTATTTTGTTTTTGTTTTTGCAAACTTGCTGTTTTTGGTCTCACTTGAGGTTAGATAGAGTGGTGAAGTGGTGTAGTGGTTTTTGCATTGAACTGTGACTCTGAAGATCAAGGTTCAATTTCCTGCTTGGCCATAAAAACCCACTGAGTGATCTTGGACAAGTGACACACTCTTAGCCTCAGAGGACGGCAATGGCAAAATGCCAATGAAGAAAGTTGCCAAGAAAACCCTATGATAAGATTTGCCTAAGGGTCATTGTTGCACACAACAACAACGACAATGCAGCACAACAAAAAGCTCACTCAACAAACTTGTGGTAAACAGCAATATTGCACACACAAAAATACCTATCTATTGTGCAAGATTGCTGGATTTTGTGCAAGATTTTTGTTGTGCAACATTGTCATTTTCTATTTAAAAACAACAATCTTGAACAACAAAAATGTTGCAACAACAAAATCATGTGTGGCTTCAGCTGCAGTGTTACCCAAATGCAATGGCCCTGGGAGGCACCCACAATTAATACTAATATTGGGGAATTTTAGCAGCTCAGTTAAAAGCAGCCGAGAGGGCTCAGGCAACTCAAAGCAAGAATCAAGCCTGTGAATACTGATTCCAAGGAAAAGAACTCCAGAGTGAAAGTTCCAATATAGTTTTATGAATCAGAGGGAATCACCATTGATGAAAAGACTCTCTCACAGACATCCAAGAACTAATGACATAGAAAGTGGTAGCAGACAGTGACTTAAGGAGTTGCAGAGGGTAACACTATACTGATTGCAGATGTGGAGGTCCAATCGGGAGACGACCATGATGTGAAAGTGGCTAAACAAGCTGCCTGGGTATTGTGGCATGACCAGCAAAGCTGGAGAGTCAAGCAAGATACTGACAGAGTGTCCATCTAACCTCAAGTGAGACCAAATTGATAATGTCTAAGCAGGAATACTTATAGTGCAAAAGCTATCCCATGGCAAGATTTGGGAATTGAGTGGATTTTCCAGGAAGGAAGAATGGAAAGGGGTGTTAACAATGGTCAGGTAATCAAAAATTGTATTTTAAAATGACTGTCCATGGTTGCCTATGATTCTGGGTCAGACTAGATAACCTACTGGGACTCTAGATGAGACTTTGGAAATTCTTCTGTCTGTCTATTTGTTTCTCTTAACTCTGTGCTCTGTACTGCAGTTAAGGTGGCATTCATAAGGCCACAGTCATCTTGTACTGTAAACATTTTTTAGGTAAGATTCCTATATTTTCAAAACACTGTCTACTTAGCAAGAAATGCTGAATATTCTGAACCTAAACGAACTAGAGAGGGGAGTGGGAGTGGTGATGTGTTAAACCTGTATGTAAAATCCTATAAAAGGTCTCTTTCCTTCAGTCCATGGTGTCTCTCAGTTCCATTTTTCTGTTACAATCCATGCAGATGTCCATGGAGAGAAGAACATCTCTCTGATTTCATTTCACTTCTACACAGAGAAGCTAGCACCGTAAAGGAAAGGATTATGCAGATTCTGACCTTCAAGTTGTTTCCTGGATCTGTGCTCTGTGCCTCATGAGGCTGACTTCTCTGAATCCTACATTTTCTCAAACTCTTATACAGTACACAAAAAGTGTGCAGTTTATGTTGTGCTGGAAATAAAAAAAGGAAAAGGAAACAAATTGCAGGATTTTTTTAGATATTGTTTTTCTTCCTATGTAAGTTTCTCAAGGGGTCAGGAACTTATAGTTTGTATATGTAGTGATATGTTTTCTCTTTTATGTTGTGAGTGTTGTGTATGTGGTAATTTTATGTTTGATTAATAAATCTTTTTTAAAAATAAAAAAAGAAGTGGAGGAAACCATTCCCCTCAAACTTAAGGCCCAAAACACTTTTTGTGGCCTCCCAAGCTCCTTAGGCAGCTACCTTACCAGAACTCTTTCATGAAATCCTACACAGTCAGAAAGATGTCAGTGAAAATAACTGACTATGAGCCTTTACAAATTGCCAGAAATAATAAAGCTTGAGACCACTTTAACTGTCCTGACTCAATGCTAGAAAAGCATCGGAATTTTAGTTTTTTTTTTCTGAGATATCTGGTACCACAATAAACTACAGTTCCCATGATGCCCTAGCACTGACCCAAGGCAGTTAAACTGGTCTCAAGCTGGATTATTTCTGGCAGACTCTAAAGGCCCTATATGTCTTCTATAACTGCATATAGCCCTCAAAGGGTGAAAATAAACAGGCAGGAAGGGGTGGCTTCAAGCCTTCCTTTCCAAAGATGGATTGGGGCTATGGCAAACACATGCCTTGGCCCC